CCGCAAAATTAAAAACGGATAGGGCTGCTATGTAATTAACTGGCAATTTCTCAGTTGCAAACCCCTGATTTGTAACCATGGCAGGTACACAAACTACCGGCTGCATTATACTTCCACTGTCTCCACCTGCCCCCATTTTTTTCTAACAACAAAGCACAGAAAACTATCTGAGCTGAAATCCCACTCTTATCAGCTTTCTTCTCCTTGGAGATTTCATAGCCCACCCCCCTTGCCTCTTTCTCTGATCACAACTTAAGTCTCTTCATCATTCTTGTTCTTTTGCCTTTTTCCCCAGGTACATCACAAAAATGTCATTCCCACCAGCACAAAAATACAATTTATGGACAACAAAATTAATATCAACAAATCTTACCCTATAATGTGGGCTTTGATGAAGGAATAGATGAAGGCCCTAATAGGTTTTGAAATGGATTTAGAACAGATACACTGGAAATCAGTATCATCCCTTCTCATATTTTCGTGAGGAAAGAGTGACATTTTGGTGTGTGTGGTGGGGGAGGTACAATTTGGAAATGGTTATCCAAATTTAAAATAAATATAACTTTTATTTTAAGTTCAGGGGGACCTAAATTTGATGTAGCAAGTTACCATTTAGGAATTTCTCCTATGGATTTACCCTGTGGATTCAATTAATCATGGCATTGTTTGACATGGTACACATAAATGGAAACAAGAGAGACTGATCTAAACATTATGGTATATCCATGAGATGAAATACTATGTATCTGTTAAAAAGAATAAGGTGGAGCTGATCTAGGGAGGAGAGAAGAGAAGCAGAGAAGAAAACATTTATTCATTTATTGGGTGAAACAATTCTATAAATCTCATCAGAGACAATAAATGGGAAACAACATACGTGGAAAGAGTGTTGGATGAAGTTCAGATACTTCTTTCTGGAGCTGATCTAGAGCTGATCTAGACAGATGTCTACACTCTTGTAAAGTGAAAAAAGTGACAGAACATGGGCTAGGGAGTCATCCTTTTTTTTTTTTTTCTTCCTTCGTTTTCCCCCCACACTAAGGAGGACCTTTGGCTTGGCTTCCCTTCCCTTTTCTCTTTCTAATCCGCACTCCTCCATACACCACCTTAGCAGGCATATTTAAAAAACCTATTGGAGATGTGTCTTTCCCCAAGCAAGACAAGCAAGAAAAAGGCAGAAGTGCAGGAGAAAGTGGAAGAGCCCACGTGAACAGTTCTGAAGGGAAGAGAGTCAAGAATAACTTGGAAAGCAGAAGAAAAGGAATGGGGTGGGGGGAGCGGGAGCTTTAAGAAAACATTCTGTGTATTATGATGGAGCCACTGTTCATGTTTTCTGAGAGACCCTGGCGAAGGTTAGGATTACTGTTGATTTTCAATCTTCTGACACCACGCTAAGGCTGAGGTCTATGTGGCTCTGGAATATATTCACACTGGCCACTCTCACACAGAACAGTTCCAGAAAGAAACTTTTAGCCGTGCCTGTCTTTGAGGAGTGGGCCAACAGTTTGAAGACGAGGCTGAGTTTTACCTTTCTGTCCTCGTAAATGGTCCTTCCCTACAAGCATATGCTAATCTCGCAAAAGAAATGAACACAACATGTGTGAATGTCCTGAGAGTCCTCTTCAAAGCCGGAAAAACCCTCTGTATCTCCTTATCACTCTCCAGTTCCGACAGAAAACTCAAATTGAATTAGTATTTGACAAACAAAAATTTTAAAACAACGCGTTCAATTTTGTATTTTTCTCTCCTTTTTTGGGGGCTGGGCAGGGGGCAGATTTATGGCCCATACACTGGCACTACCAAAGGCCAAGTAGACTTTCATGGGTTAGTCTGGGGAACTCACCATAATCTGTCACCATCTTTAACAGGAAAATGCATGCCAAGTTCTGAACTGCTAACCGGCTAATTAACATTAGACTAAGTTAAACTTTTCAATAAAATTTATCAAGTATTTTAAAATTATTTTCATTCTACTTAATATTTGCAATGCTAAGGGACAGATGAGTTTGCATATACAGTCACATATATATGCCGATACTATCAGAAGACATATTATGGGCTAATGCTAAATATTATATATTTTGTTGTATGTGATTTCTAACTTGTTTTATGAAACACGAAGGACCTAATGTTGAGCCGCATCATAAAAACTGAGTAAAATCTATTGAGTAAAAATAAATGACAGAGTAGCAAGAAGGGAGCTGAAGGCCATAATTTGGATAAAAATGGAATAGCAGCACTTTCTCCTCTAAGGTCAGCAATTAAAATTTAGCCAAGGTCAGGAGTGACAAAATCATCAAGAAAGACTTGACCTCCATCTAGTTGTTGGAAACAATAGATTAACATTGTAAAACTGTTACAGCAGATGGCAATGCAATCATCCCTTGGTAACTCATGCCTAGCTAACCGTCTGTGACCTTGGCCAAAGGTCAGCAAAAGGCCCACCTCCAGCATCTGCAGGGAGCGGATGCGGAGGCCGAGCACCCAGCGTGAATTCCCTCGTGCACATGTGAGAGGTGAAAACCACTGCCAATGTCTCCATTCCTGCCTTTGTTCTAAAATTGCTAACAGCCTTGCAGGGTACCTGACCTATTTGCATACATTCCTTATTTTTACCTCTGCCTGAGCTAAAGGGGAAAAAGGCAAAGTATGACAACATCTACCCTGCCCATTTCTCTTAACTTTGTTGGTTCGGGTTTATTTATAGCCTTTTCCTCAACTACAGCTTTAAAAGCAAATGATTCGTACCTCACTCATGTGAAGTGGATCAATGCAGATTGGATTTCTTGAAATACCACCAAAAAGCAGCTCCTCGACACATTCCAGGGAAGAGAAGCCAAGGGAGGCTTGGAAATTTGTCACCCAGTGTAAGAACAGAGCACACATTTACAGAGAGACTGTGACCTGCCAAACACCACGTAAATATAACCAAACGTTTTCCAAACATAATGGACTGTGTTCTGGTGGCGAAGACTTGGCCTCGCTTACAAGAAAAGCCTCTTTGTTTAACTGTAAAGTCAGTCAAACTGCCAGTTACTTAAGGGGTAAGTTAGTGCCTCAAAGAGGCCCTGGTGGATGTGGGGAAGAGAAGGTTGCAAAATACATGCAGAACAGACACCCTTGTAGGTGTGTGGTCTTCTTTATGGATGTGGTGGACCCATTTCAAGTTTCTGTGCTTCAGAGTGGCCTGGGCAGGGCAGTCTGGGTGTCAAAAGGAAAGGGAAGATAAGGCAGAAGAGTCAGCGCAGCGCTAGCAGAGAGCCAGAGGCTGCTGATGGGGGCCTGGAGAAGAAAGGGTGTTTTTCAGTCTGCGTCTTTTGGATGGAGTAGATCCGCTCACCCAGAGGCTGTGGTTTGGCCTTCTCATAGCAAGCTGTGGAGTTCAGAGAGGTAACGCCAACTATCTGACCTGCCTCTTTTTGCAATGCTAAGGCTCAGAGATGAAGCCTTATCTCTTTGAACGCAATCCGTATTTTCTGAGAACCCACAAGATTGATCACACTCAGCAGGCATTTCACTGCTCATGGGAAAGTCTACAGTCTCAGCCCTCAAGCCAATCCCTTATACGTTTGATTAAAGCTGACTCACAGTCTGGATTCCAGAGCCGTTCACCCACAGGCAGTGGAGGAAACCACCTACAGAAGTCCAGGAAACATGCTCAGGGTCAGGCTGGTGCCACTGGCTGGCCAGGGACCTCTGCCATCCACCTGGCTGGTGGAGCCTCTGCCGTCTTCGGGTTCTGCACCAAGCTCCTGGCTCATGCCTGGCTTCCTGACCAAGCAACTCATTTCTGGTTTCCTACCATTAGTCGGAACAAATATCCTAGACCCTGGACTCACTTCTGTTCTTATGTTGACTCTGGGAACTTCCTCTCCCAGATGTCTCCTGAGAGTCTTCCTCTAGCGGGAACAGGAAGTACCCTGGGCTCTGACTTTTCCACCTGCCCCTCTTCACTTACAGCCTCTCCCTGCCCGTTGTCCTACGTTGCATAGGTCTGGTCCTGGATTCTCCCTCTGCTTCACCCCTTTGGACTGACACGGTATTTGCACAGTCTGCAAAGCTGGGAAATTAAAGATTTGCCCAGGATGGACCCCCTGTTCTCCAGGGACCTTCTCCCTCTGCCATCGCTCCCGGTCACAGGTGCTTTCAAGGTACCTTCCCATCAGCAACCTTGCTCTGTGCTAGAGACTGAGCCATTCCAACCTCAGATTATGGTCCGCTGTCTCTGTGCCCTTCCCCTTGGGCTGCCCTCAGTCTCACCTTCTAGAATTATGTTCTCAGCCTACTGCAAATCAGGGTGCAACATCCACCAGCACCTAACTCTCAGCAGTTCAACACTACCCTCCTCAAAGCTTCTCTGAGTTATAAAAACATCTCAGGGCAAAACGCCTTCTGGTCTCAAGGAGCTGAGATCAGTCAAGAAGCAAAATCACCAATTGTTCCTTCACCTGACTCAAGGATAAGCTGAGGCAGGGCCATCTCCCTGCTGTCCTCCCTGGCTCACAAGGTAATTATGAAGACAAATGATTCCACTGAAAGCATAAATCCTGAGAAAGAGAAGGGACCAGGATTTACTGCCAGCCAGACCAAGGGCCCCGTATGGCCATCCTCACCTGGACCAGCAGAGGCCAATGACACAGCCTCTCAAGCTAGGTCTGAGCCCGTGTTCCTCTCCAGCTCCCCCAGCACCCTGAGCCTGCCTTTGTCATTGCAAGCGCCACATCGTATTGTAATCATCTGCTCCAGATCGAGACAGCATCTAATTAGTTTCTGTACACCCACGGTGCCTGACACGCGGAAGGAACTTTACAAATGATGAATGAATGCATAAGTGAATGAACAAGGGGGAATGAATAAAATAAGACTTGGTTTTACACAACGGTTGAGAAGCAGCTGGAAATCCTCCATGCAAAGCAGTAATCGGAATGACTTCACAATATCGATCTTTGCCCAACGTGAAGACGTCCTAGCTCTTGTGTTACCCCCTCCCTGGGACTCGCCTGTATGGCTCCATGGTCCGAGTACCATAGAACAAGGCTTCCTCCAGCAGGCCGAGGTTGATGCAGGCATCCATGGCGCAGTCGAGCACCTTCAGCTGGTAGATGTTGATATCGGGAAGCCGCTCAGAATTGCTGCTGATGATCGCCTGGCACATGGCCAGAACCTGCTCCCACTCTGTTATTAACCTTAGTTAAGGATTCATTGTCTTCATCGAGAAAAAAACCAAAGTGAAATTAGATTCTCTAAAAGGCTGAAGAGCTCCCAAGCGCAGGAGGGAGGGAAGCACCCGTTACTTTTCACAGAGGAGCCGCCTGAAAACACACTTGAGAAACAAAAACACAGAAGTGGCATCTCAGTGAAGTAAATTCTGTTTACGTCAACAGACTAGCTTGTAACCAGGCCTGTGCTTTGGAGTTTTAAAACTTTCAGGCCAGGTGCGGTGGCTCACGCCTGCAATCCCAGCATTTTGGGAGGTTGAGGCGGGAGGATCACGAGGTCAGGAGATCGAGACCATCCTGGCTAACATGGTGAAACCCTGTCTGTACTAAAAATACAAAAAATTAGCCGGGCGTGGTGGCGGTGCCTGTAGTCCCAGCTACTCGGGAGGCTGAGGCAGGAGAATGGCGGGAACCAGGGAGGCGAAGCTTGCAGTGAGCCGAGATCACGCCACTGCACTCCAGCCTGGGCGACAGAGCGAGACTCCGTCTCAAAAACAAACAAACAAAAAAACCCGAAAACAAACAAACAAAAACTTCTAAAGACCTGTTCTTTCTTCACACTCCTAGATGTGTTCTCTTTAAATCTAGTCATAAATAAATGCAGTCCTTTATTAAATTGGACTAAAGATTAAGTTAATTTGGTTTTAAATTATTTACTCTGTTAGCTTCTGTTTAAAAACTGATTTGAAATTAAAGATCCTTTAGAGAGATTCTTTTTTCAACAGGAAGAGCTCATGTTTGCTTCTGTGTTATCTGAGTTCTGGGCATACATGAACCCAAATACACACACAACCCACAGGCACACACTAGGTGGAGCAATGTGAAGAAATATATTTCCACAGGATCTCATCTTTTTTGATTATAAAGCAAAAGTGACCCAAGCCTGTACTTAACCAAATAATTAAAATCTGTGTTATTTTAAACCCCCAAAATAAGAGACAATATTAGGAACGTGGCTTATGCACATAAATTGCTGGCAAGGGAAACGATGCTTTAAAAAGGATGGGGAGAAAACTCAATATCCACTTCTCAGTAACTCTGACTTTCTGATTAACTATGAGTCAATAACAATCTCATGTAGCCTTGGAGTGACTTCACTTTTTAAAACTGATATTCCTTGTCTTAGAGGGGCAGTCAGAGGACTGAGGATATGGTTTATGGAGCATGCTTTGACTCCCTCCCCGGTGAATTCTCTGGGAAACAGAGCGAAGGCGAGAGTGCAGGACCCCGGGACCTCATAGTTTCTTCACTGTGCACTGTTAGGTGAGTCGGAGACCAAGGAGGGTCCTGGGCTGGGACTTGCCCTTCTCTCACTCCTGTCCCACCATCACCTAGTGGAGCTCCAAATTCATCTGCTTCATATGTTGTCATTCCAGTGGGGGAAAAGGTTTTGAAGATCGGAAATGGCAGCCTAGCCTTCGACTGTAGTAAAGCTAGATTCAGATCTAATCTAGTCCTGTCATTTATCAGACTTGAGGTTCTGAGGAAGTCAAAGTGCTTAATGATACACCAGAAATAAAAATGACTAATGTCAATGTAAGAATGAGTAATATACTGTATGTAAAATGACACAATTCGTCATGTGTCCTCTCATGAGCCAGGTGGAGTTCTGGGTGTCAGAGACACAGTGGGGAACATTTCCTGGCATGCACAAGGCACACACTACGCAAGCATTAGTGCCTTCCATCTTCCCTCTGTGACGTGACCTCTGAGCCTGACTGGGCTTAAAGAAAGTGGTTCAGTGGACTGACTTTGACTGAACTTCCCTTCATGCCCCCACACCCCTCCCACTCCCACATGACCTGGTCTCTTTACAATCCATGCTTTCTGTGCCATCCCCGGCCCCTAATTCAAAACCCTCTTCATGGAGGTCCTAACAGAGCATGCCCAGCCCTGAACAGCCAACCCACTGTATATGCTCCCCTCTCTGTCCAGCAAAACCTTCCTCTTTGAGTGTCCATACCCTTCTCAGAACATGGTTTTCCAAAACATTAGCAAATACTTCCAATAAACCAATCAAGCCATTCCTGAAAGTGGAGACAAATACCTTTATGAACTATCACAGGAAATATATTTTCTTTCCAGCAAAGGCTTCCCAGAGGCCCAATATCTTACTCCAAAAGATGAGTTCCTTGACGAGAATTGAAAGCACCACAATGCACAGCTGAGAGCCTTTTCTGTCACACCCACTGCAATTTTAGGATGAGTCCTGTCTTGGAAGAATTGACCCTGATCCTAAAAAAGGTTCCTTCTTCCTGAAGAAAAGTGAGTCCAGGATTTGCTCTGGCATTCATCTGACATGTATGTTCAAAGTTTGCTGAATGTATCCCCTAGAGGTTGGGGGAAGCAGTATCTTAGGCAATGCACTGATTTTGTAACAGATTGCTGGGCTAACCTCCGTGACTCTTCATTCCAGGATTAGATATTTGACGAACTGTCAGGAGGAATGACTGTCTCTTACACAATGCTAGACATTTCTGTGGCAAGACTTGTACCTTATTTTAACATTGTGCTGTTTGACCTCCACAATTATTTGCCTGTTCATTTATGTATGTTCCCACTTATTCTAAAGAGGTTTGAGGTGACAGGCCTTAGAAGTAAAAGCCAGATGTGATGTTCCGCAGCCACTCATAGGAATGCATCTACTTTATCCCCCAGCAAGCTGGAAGGGACTACGTGCCAATTTTCCTTCGCAACACTGGCAACTGTCTCTTGGCAAACAAGGCAAAACCTTTCCTTCATAACACCCCAGTGAGCAAAAAAATGGAATAATTTTAACTAAGAGGCTTTTCCCCCAAGTTACTACTGACATGTATTTGCTCAAAGATTTAGTCCCTGGCATCTGTGTGGTGTTTATTACAAGTGACTCTGTTCCAGTAAGGAGCTGAGCTCTAGACCTAGCAGGGCTGGATAGCCTACCCAAAGAGAATAGATTCTTAACGGACAGAACAGATACCCTTTTTTCCTGAATACTTTTAAATGACCATAAGAGGATCAGGGGAAAAGAGAAAGGGAAGCACAGTAAATTCACTTGGGAATTACTCAACTCATTGAGACTCAAAGACTGTCAGTCCACAGAGCCTGTACCCACTTGATCATATTACTCTACTGCTTAAAAAATCATTGCATGGCCCCCTCTCACCTATGAAGTCTAATCTGTGCATGGCAGTGAAGGCTGTGCCACCTTCCCCTCCCTCCCACACTGCACAGCTGGCAGCTTCTCAGCAGCAGTGCATGTTCTGTGCATCTGAACACGTCATCCCTTGTGTTGGACGCCTCTTCTCTTGGTTGGCCTGGTGAACTCCCACTAATCCTCCCAGACGCAGCTCACTGGTCACCTCCTCTGTGAAACCTTTCAACTTCCCAGAGTTGACTATTGTGTCTTTGACGCCGCTGTAAGTCTAGATCTTTACCAAAATATGTATTAATGGACATTTTACTACCCCGCTATGTAGGAGAGTAGTGAGTGCAGGGCTGTGTTTTCTAACTTCTGTCTGAACCATCAGGTGAATGATGTCCAGCAAGGTACTCAGCATACAGTCTGTTTTCAGTAAAACCTTGTCCAGTTGAAACTGAACTCTGGCTGGGTTATCCGTGGGCCCCAATACCATGGCCAGGGCCCAAACAGAACAAGTCTACTCCTCTGCGCATAAAAAGCTCTTTGAGCCCATGAACAGGGACCTCCTGTTCCAGAGTGGACTGTTTTCCCAGTATCTTCTATCTCATCATAGACAGGGCTTCAAATCCCTCCTTAATTTCAGTTCCACCCCTCAAAACCAGTTGTTTTAATACTTCCTACCTCAAACTGAATAGAAAATTCTAGAAATAATCGGACCAATACTATCATCTCTATCATTTTCTAATCAATATTAATGCAGCCCAAGATCACAGTAGTAAGATTATATTATACTCTTAAATGTTATTAAATTTTGCTGTTTACTAAAGCCCTAATTTTTTTTCACATGTTCTTATGTGTATTTACATATTTTAACTTTTTGATCCAAATAGAAATTGTATGTATGTTCTTGTTATATTTCATCTCTTTAAAACTTGGACACCATTTAAACATTTAGGGATCTTTTGAAGTCCTTTTTTCTTTTGAGATACAGATTCTATCATCCTCCCTCTATTATCCTCCCCATCTACGTCACTTTGGAGATTTCATAAACCTGTCCTCTGTATCTTTGTTAAAGGTATGGAATTATGAATTAAAGAGGACCGAGATGGAACAACGCTCCAGAATGACACTGAATCATTTAACATCATTTTTTCAGTGTAGCTGTTCAGTTAGTTTTGCTAACATCTAATGTAAGTTTCTTGACTACTTTTCGTCAAATCCCTTTCTGAAGTCTCGATACAAATTTTACCAAAGAAAGCCACGTCTCTGTGCATTCACTCGCTCTTGGAGAACCCCTGCAGCATCATGATGATCACTGCTTCCTTTTCCATTCCTTAGTAACCAGTCCAAGATTCTTTGCCAAGACTGCTAATCAGCTCAGTGGGCTATCAACTCAAAATTATGTCCTTCACCTTTACAACTGGAGACCTCCCTCTACCTCCCTCTCTAGCTCTTTACAACTCTCTAAATAGCATCGTCAGCAAATTGGAAATGTTCTTAGTGCCTGGGATATAATTTACCCCAAAGTCTCTGAATGACCTTTTGCAGTCTTTTCATCCACCTTGATCTCTTCCTTCTTGCCTGCTGTCTCCCTTCATCACAGCTTTGCTCCAGTGAACTCCTCTACCAGGAGCGGCCTCCCTCTCAGCCTCGGCCTATCCAAATCCTGCCCCGACTCAGGCTATCTTTTGCACAGTAAAACATCCGTGGAGCCTTCCCAGATGACCTTCATCCTACGTGATCTCTCCTTACTCTGAACTTTGGCCCACCTGTGGTCATTACTATTCATGCCGAGAAAATGTGTCGTGCAGCAAATCCCTGCTGCCACTGTAGTCATGCCTGGTTTAATACGAAGCTTCTGGGTCTGAGGGTCAATGGCACTGAATGACAAGGATTCTAAGCTATTCTTTCCTGGAGATGTAAGTGGTTATGGGAGAAGATAATTGAGGAATTTGTCACCTTTTACACGTAAAGAGACTAACACTTACTTTCCTACTACTATTGGGCCATGAGTGTTGATTATTACCTAAAGGTAGTGAGTTATTATTCATGCTGATCTTGCCACGATCTTCCTTGTCATTACTCAAACTGCGGGCCGGGATCGGGGGTGTGGCCTGTGACCACGGAACAGAGTGAAAACCACTGGCTCATGGAGAGGTCAAGCCCCGCCTTTGGCCTCATTACCACAGGGCTTCAAGAAAACAAGAAAACAAGAAAACAATCCCAACAGTCCAGCTCAACCCACAGGCGAAAGGATACTCCAGTGTGCCTTCAGTTCTTCAATTTTTTTCAGGGATTCTTGAACTTCCTTCCATACTTGCTCATCACCAGTTAGCATATCAGCATCCTGCTCAGGCCAGAAAAGGAAGACAAATAACCCAATTAGTAATAAGCAAAGGACCCGAATAGACCTTTCTCCCAGATATACAAAAGGCCTGCAAGGCCATGAAAAGATGCTTGACATCATTTATCATCAGGGAAATATAAAGCAAAACCACAGTGAGATATTACTTGATACCCACTACCACGGCTATAGTCAAAAAGACAGGATAACAGCAAAGGCTGGTGAAGACGTGGAGAAACGGATACCCTCACACACTGCTCATGAGAACACAAAATGGTAGCTTTGGAAAACACTCTGGAAGTTCCTCAAAGGGTTCAATGCAGAGTTTTCATATTACCAATTAGAGTTACCATATTAACAATCCTACTCCTGGGTGTCTACCCAAAAGAAATGAACACATATGTTCAACAAAACTTGTTCACAAATGTTCATAGCAGCGTTGTTCATAATAGGCAAAAAATGCAAACAACTCACATGTCTATCAATATGGCGTATATCCAGACAATGGAATATGATTCTACAATCAAGTACCGACACATGCTACAACATGGATGAACCCTGAACACGTTCCGCTAAGCGAGAAGCCAATCACAAAGACCACACGTATGACTCCATGGATATGGCACGTCCAGAAGAGGCAAATCCACAGAGACAGAGTCGATTAGTGGTTGCCTAGGACTAAGAGGACTGGAGGGAACTGGAGAGTCACTGCTAATGGGTAGGGGTTTCTCCGGGGGTGATAATAATGCTCTAAAATGGACACCATGCTAGCTGCACAACACTGTAAAGAGACTGAAAACCACTGAACTGTGCACTTTAACTGGGCGAATTTCATCACAACACCTCAATAAAGGTGATATTTTTAAAAAACAGAAGGGGAATAGGATAAATAGTTATTTGTTAGGAGACCTACAGCTAAAACTTTACTAAGAATAAAATACAACTACACCCATGTGAAGCAATTCTGACTCTTCCACCTAAACTAAACACAAAAAAAATTCAGAAGAACATAAAATTATGAGCTACCACATATGAAATGTCTGCCCTCCTATTTAGTAAGCAGGTCTTCTGTTTCCCGTTGGCCAGTGTACCTCTGGTATCTAGCGCAGTGCCTGGCACATAGTTGTTGCTTAATCAGCACTTGTTGAATGAATGACTGAAAACCACATGTGCACACAATGCTGAAGGCTTTACTGATATTGTCTTATCTTCACACAATTCTTTTATGTAAGATCATATCCCATGGGGGTAACACAGGCAGGGAGTGGGAGAAGTCTACCCTGGGTCAGGCAATGACTATTGTCTATAGAATACTGAAAAATAATAATAAAACCAACGAAAAGTACATCTGATGTTTACTACGTGCAACAATTCAGAGGTGAAATATTCTTCTCCCCAGGTCAGAGGGTGCCTAACATCTTTCTCCCTAATATATCACTGATCCTACCCAGTTTATAGATGGCAAAACTGAGACTCAGTTAAGTGACTTTCCTGAAAATCACCAGCTTGGAACCAAAATTTCAACCCAGGTCTGATTCCAAAAGGCTATCTTCTTGGCAAATGTTACTCTGTTTACCACAGATACTGCTATGGTCTTTTCAGCATGCTCAGCAAGTCCTGCTTCTTTAAAGTTTCACTAATAGGTAGCCACCAGGCAGGTGTGGCTATTTCAATTTCAATTAATTAAAACAATAAAAAACAGTTCCTCAGCTGCAGCAGCCACATTCCAAGAAGCTAACAGCCACATGTGGCTTTGGCTACCACACTGAACAACCGAGATACAGAACGGTTCACTATGTCACTGCAGAAAGTCCTGTGGGATGTGCTGCTTTCAGGTGGCTCGTCAGAGGGTAAGCACGCTTACAAGACACTATTCAAAACCAGGTGTTCAACATCCACGAGACTTTCAACGGGTGTCAGGGACAAGAACCATCCTAGGAGGTTATATGAAAGCAGGGCCAGCGTGGGGGTGACATAAGGGTGAGGAAGGAGGGACTTTTTCATACTCTAGACATCTCCCTGGAGACTCTTACGTGCCCGTTGAAGGAGGCTTATACAACGACCCCATGAGAGCCACTGCCAGAGTCAGCCTGTGTTTCTGGGAAGAAGAAACATCACTCAAGTGCACCGGGGCAGGAAAAAAAGGTGGGAGGGCACTACGAGCCACAGAAAACAGATCCTGAGACTCTCCTTCGCAGGCTGAGGCGGCGGGTGTGTGGATGAGGAGAGGGGAGCACTTCTGTCTGTGTAATTCGGCTTTGTGGGCCTCTGTGTGTATGTGCTGTGCATATGTGTGATATAGTAGAATGGTTTTTAAAACGACACCATAGGTGTACTGTTTTTTTTTTTTAAAAGGAAATTCTAAATACATCCCTAGCTTTCTGTACACAGAGAACGGAGGAGATAAAATGCTCTTAAGAAGGTAAACAACAGGCTAGGCATGGTGGCTCACGCCTGTAATCCCAGCACTTTGGGAGGCTGAGACAGGAGGATCACCTGAGGTCAGGAGTTCGAGACCAGCCTGGCCAACATGACAAAACCTCGTCTCTACTAAAAATACAAAAACTAGCTGGGTCTGGTGGCACGTGCCTGTAATCCCAGCTACTTCGGAGGCTGAGGCAGGAGAATTGCTCAAACCTGGGAGGTGGAGGTTGCAGTGAGCCGAGACCATGCCACTGCACTCCAGCCTGGACAACAGAGCAAGACTCCACCTCAAGAAAAAAAAAAAAGAAGAAGGTAAACAACAGTCTCCCTCCGAATGCCTCCTCTAAGTCCGTCGTCATCTCCTAACAATCACCTCACTCTCCTGTTCCAAAGCCTTCAGCGACTTCCCACGGCCTCCCAGATCAAGCTTAGCAGTTAGATCTTGGCTGTCGTGGCCATTCCTGAGTGAATATTCCAGTTTTACATTTCACAGCTGGCAGCTTAAACCCTAGACCTAAGCTTGCTAGTCTCTATGGTAACCAGAATAATGGACCCCCAAAGATGTCCACGTCCTGCTCTCCAAAACCTGTGAATATGTTCGGTCACACCGCAAAGGGGAACTGAGTTGTAGACGGGATTGAGGTTGCTCATCAGCTGACCTTAAAATAGCTGAGGGTACCCCGGACTTTCCAGGTGGGTCCAGTCTAATTACAAGGGTCCTTAGAAGTAGAAGAGGGAGGCAAACGAGGAGGTCGGGGGATGTGCTGTGTAACCAGAGGCCGGCAAAGGCAAGGAATCCAGTGCCCTGGAGCTTCCAGAAAGGACAGCAACCTTGCCCACACCTTGATTTTGGCCCGCTGAGACTTGGGTCAGGCTTCTGGCCTACAGAACTCTAAAATAATCAATCGGAGCTGTTTTAAGATGCTGTATTTATGATCAATTGTTGCAGCAGCTACAGAAAATGTGGTCCCTAACATACCTTCTGCTCTTCTGGCCACAGGGGCTCTTTGTGCCTGGCCCTCTCTGTACCTGAAATTAGTCAGTCAGATCACTCATTTATTCCATTAACACTTACTGAGTACCTAACCAGGCACTGTTGTAGGCAGTGGGGATAGAGCAGTACATAAATCAGATCATCATCATGTTCATACTGAAGAGGCAGGTGGAACACACAGTAAGAGAAGATACACACCTGCACGCACACACACGCACACACACACACATTTTGTGGGGGGAAAAACAGGGAAGAGGCATGGGGAATACTGGCACCAGGGAGTTCATTTTAAACAGGACGACTGGGGCAGGTCTCACTAAGATGATATTTGAGTAAAGCTCTAAAGGAGGTGGAGGTGTAGGAGACAGGAGTTCCACGGAGAGGGGAGGGCAAGTGCAGAGGCAGAAGCATGCCTGAATATTCCAGGAACAATAGAGGCCAGTGTGGCCAGAGCTTGTGGACTGCAGTGTGTGTGCATGTCCTGTCTTCCCCCACTTAATTGTCAGCTCTTTAGAGCTGAATATAGGTCTTCTTCTTCTTTGGTCCGGCCTCTCCCAAATATCCAGCATGGTCTTATATGTAACAAATGCTCTGCTGAATGTCTCTAGAATGGATCTGGAAGAAGTGAACTAACTTGGTAATGATTTGATGTCTCTTGTGTTTATTTCAGTTATTCCTCACTACATCTTTGAAAGGCATCAATACCTGTAATTTACAAATGAGGTGCAAGATAGTCCTGAAGGTTACATAATTGGTCCAAATGTCCTTCTACCCCTGATTACCAGAGGTAGGATTCAAACCCAGGTCTGGCTGGCTCCAGAGCCCATGCTCTTTCTACTACCTTCATGCTTAAATTTGATTCGTTTCTCTCCTGGACTTGCTTAGAAGGTGAAACTCATGTCTGAGTTAATACATTCAAAGTATCTTCACCCATGTTTCCTAAGCTCTTCCTAGTACTAGCACTTTCAAGAGGAGAGTAAAATCCTCCAACACAGAACCCACAGCAGATCTCGTGTTCTTCTATCAAGCAGGGTGAGATGGCAGCCCAGGGCAGAACAATTTCATATGGGAATTATAGTCACAACTAAATTTGCCACCAGTGAACATAATCTGATTAGCTGTTCTTTCAGGTTGACCCTAAGCCTTTATTTAACAGAAGAGCAAGCAAGCTTTGAAACTGCTCCTAAACATTTAGAAACGATACCTCTGAGAGCATTTTACACTGGAGCCAGACAAAGTCACACTCACGAACAGCTATCACCTCCCTGCAGTGTTCCACTAGGGTGACTGCCTCTCAGGTTCCAGCTTCCCCTGACCCTACCCATCTGCTGTGGCTGCTATTCACAATTACGTCTACACTGGGTCTGTCTCATCTCCCCGCTCTCCACACCAGGCCGGAGGAAAACGTTCAGTTGCATAGGTGTATCAATAGGGCGTGTGTACAGAAACAGAAAAACTACTTAGGGAAGTATAATTTAAATCTTCTACTTTTCTGATTTGCAAATAGTAAATTACTATGTTTTTTATCACAGTCCCTGAGGTATAAAATTAGTAAATTTATATCCTTATTTTCATTATTTCATAT